CTCCTCTGACAGAAGGAACCTGTGTGTTCAACCTGTGCCTGCTTTCTCAAACACAGAGTTACTCCAACACTCCCAACTGTCGTTCAACAAACGAAGTGAGAACTGCTGAGATCGTCTGAAATGACCCCAAGAAACGATGTTCACTCGTTTGTCGTTTGTCTTCAAGAGGTCACTCACTGCGACATCGGCACCACATACACACTAAGTGAAACATCTGGTAAAGGTCTGAAACGATCCATGAAAACTTTATAAGAGTCCACTGTGGTAAAAAACTATGACGGTTATTTAAATGTTGGACACAAGAAAAACTTGAAGAAGGAAAGTTTCGGAACATTTTGAACTTTTGAAAGCGAGTTTCTAAGCTGAAAGTAATGACAATGAGTAGAAGGTCTGTCCTTCATTTCTACGGGGACAGAAACTGCAGAAAAAATGGAATATTTTCAAAAGTATGAAAATATATCAATAAAACTGGAATACACCTGATAATGTTCTTAAATGTTTTTTATGACTCTATGACCTTACCAATACTTCGACATTGTCTATGACCGTTTTTAATGCTTCTATCTATACTATGACAATTTTTTTTACTTATTGCCATATTCAAACAGTAAGCAGGCAATTTAACATTACAGAACAGAACCACCTTGAACGCACTGGCTTCACCTCACATACATGCACCCATTACAATAGTAGGATAAGCACCTTGTAGGAAGTAGAGCCTGCCCCCAAATACCTCAATTTCAGATATGCATTACACCTGCATACACACGATAACTATAACAAATACATCTACACAAACATACACATGTAACAGATACACAGACATAAAGCGACAAAAATCCCTAACTAACGTGATCCCAATAACTGAAGCCCCATCTTCTTGTAAAATGCAGGTAAACTGTAGCTGGGCAGTCAATTGACTTCATCATATAGAACATGTTTGATCTTTTCTAGCCAAGCTGAAGGACTTTGAGAGGTTACGCTTCAATTCCCAACTCTTGTATGAGTAATTGCTTTTTCTTGCAAACCTTAACCAATATATGCCGCAGTATGTAAACAGTGATATGTATTAAAACCAGATTTCAAAGCATTATTCCAGTAAATACAATAGTGGGGTCCATGGAGATGTCTTTTCTCCAAAGTTTTGTCCAATTCTTCTTTAATGTTTTCCATAATGTCCTGTATTTTAGCGGGCCAAGTCCAAGAATATGTGTGTCTGGTCCAGGACCATACAACATTTCTTCAACATTTTTGGTTATAATTGCTTCTATGACGTTTTTGATGCTTACTACTTTTATTTTATAATTTATGGTGACTTCTACATTCAAACTTTGTAATTCTGAATGAAATTAAACAAACTTTTCTTCATCACAAGTCAAAAAAAAAAGTTTGACAGTCTGGAATGTATCCCAGCATGCACTGGGAGGAAAGCAGAGGACAATGGTTTATCACACAACAGTCAAACCTGTCAGACTGTTGCTCTGTCCTCACTGAGCGGTATATGAGGCTGGCCATCAATAAAGAAATTGGGAAAAGAAAAAAAAAGAAAATAAAAAAGCTAATGCGGAAACTGCCATCATCATCATAATGGCTAATTCATTATTTGTCATTAAAAAAGAAGAAAAGCCAATCCTGATGATCAGTGTTAATGCAAATGCTAGCCGCTATTCTTATGTTGCAGTTTATTGGTAGCTAACATAATGCTAAAGCGTATCAAGCTACCCCGCTCTCGTGTTCTGTTTGTTTTTTCCACGATAAAAAAAAAAAAAAAAAAAAAAAAAATCTGCTATTACATACATCTCAGCATCAAACAGTCATGTTACAACCTTACCTGGTTGTGGTTTTAACTGGTAGTTTATTTGTAGAG